CACGTTTAAAGTATCGTTGGCAGCAGTTCCTGTTTTAGTTCCTGTAAAGGTGATGCAGCAGAGCGCGCAAGCGTAATGGTCTCCACCACGTTATATGGGAGTTATAGGGCCCTGGGAAGGCCTTCACGAGCCACATTATAAAAACCGAAGTATATGCAGATCAGTGGCCGGTGCGGACGGTATGAAAAATGGCGTCGAAAAATGCTGCAACTGTTGACACCCGAGCGGAATTAGCTGAATTAGTGAAAAGGAAAGCTGAAATTGCAGTAAGTATTATTTTTATTCTACTTTTAAAATAAAATAAAGATGTGGTTTCCGTCACTATTTAACGAAGGCAGAAGCTAGTTCTAATATTTTTAGTTTTACTCGTCTAGAACATTCTTCACAGTTTGTGATAATTCATTTTTTGCCCTTTTCCTCTCTTCAAAATCAGTATATTTGTTTATATTTTGTGGGTATAATAGAATGATATACCCATCTTCTCTTGCAGGAAACTCTGGCAAACTTGGAGAGACAGATATATGCATTTGAGGGGAGCTACTTAGAAGACACCCAACTCTATGGCAATATTATTCGTGGGTGGGATAGGTATCTCACCAGTAATAAAAACACGAACAGTAAAGCTGATAAAAGAAACCGAAAGTTCAAAGAAGCTGAACGCTTATTTTCAAAATCCTCGATCACCTCAATGGCTGTAAGTAAATCCTGTTTGTTTAAAGGCATTTGTGAATTTTGGAAATAATTTCATTTGTGTCTATTGGTATTGCAGGCCGTGAGTGGGCTTGTAGACCAGACTCAAGAAAAAGGTGAGGATCAAAATGCAGCACTACACTAAACGACCATCAGGTTTTCATCTGCTCAAATTCAAACTACCAAGTTAGATGTAAAGGATTCATCTTAACTTGACAGAAATGGCTTTGCCATTATATGCTCTTGTGATCATGTTACATATTGTACAATTGTTTAAGATTTGTTAAAGTATATTTTATATATTGTAGTTGGAGTTATTAATAAAATCCTATGAAGAATGTATGCAAATGTTACTATAAATGTTATTAAAATTAAATAAATGTTTTATTATTACACGTGACTTAATGCATACAGTTAATATCTTAATCTAGTGCCAGTTAAGGGTGGTAATATTTTGAGGTCTACATATTCAATGTTCAGTTTACACAACATTAAACAATAAAACAATCTATTTTAACACTGCCTTTTTTTTTTTTTTTGTGGTGGCATGCATCAAGAAATACTACTTAGCACCTATTATTTCCTTTCATATTTTAACATGAGGGAGACAGGTGATGATTTACACACAATTTTTCATTTTTGTCAAGTTATGATGGATAAATTGGAAAGATAAGAGTTAAAATGTCCCTTTTTTATGGTGATTATCGTTACGGAATTTTGCGCATGCACATAATTACATGTGATTTGTATATAACGTGAAAAGCAAATGATTGATGTATTGTTCTGTCTTTTGTTACAAACTTCAAAATTCAGAAAGAAACAGCGAGACTGAATCTCAGACAGGCAACAGTGGAAGTGAAGATAATACAGGGAAAGAATCAGGAAAAAATAATGTTACTTCTGCTCACCACCAGAGTAATGCAAGCGTGACTGCAAATAATGGAGCATCGGTTAACGGAACGGTATCCTCAGACAGACCTCCAACGCCAGTTAAAGAAATTGCAAGCAAAGAAGGAAAAAATGTTCAGCGTGGTTCACATGCAAAGAAAAATACTAACAAGAAAATTCGACATCGATGAAAATAGTATTCACTAAGTTATGTGGTGCAAGAGTTGCCAGAGGACTTGTTTGCCCTTATCTTTCTAAATTATTTCTGGGAAAAACGTCAATTCTACTTTTGCAGTCAGAATCGTTGTCTCGGGTTAATATAAGGAGTATCTGTACTCTTAAATGTAAAGTTTAACTTCAGTTTTATATATTACATACATGGAACTGCATACAAGCACAGAATTTTCCTACTAGTGCAAGTTAATGTTTCATTAAACTACTATTTAGGAATGTAATCATTCTGCATTTATTATGTATTCCTACGCATATCAGTATTAATTTTTGTATTAAGTGAGAAGCATATATAATGTCTTTGTGTCTATTACAAAATAATCAGGTCAGAATTTTAATTTGATGTTAACAGGTAATACACCTAGAATTAGTACAATACAATGAATCTGAAAACCTTTTGTATGTGGTATAAGAATTAATCAATTTAGCTAGCAAGTGACGCAAACATTTCACTAATTTTAAAGAGTAATAAAAGAAAACTTAAATGTGTTCTACGGAGCAGTTGTGTCAGTGTGTTGTTGTATGTGTGGCTGACAAGACCAAACTCCAGCTTAAAGGATAACCATTACATTTTTTAAAGATAATACCTATAATTCTAGTGTCAAAAATGAATTATTGCAATGTCATAAGGACTCACAGAAGTAGATGGCACTGTGGCACTTCTCTACAACTAAAAATTAAATTGGGTTAGAGGTTCCATTGTTTTACATATAACAGCATTTATGTAGAAAAAAATTAGTTGTATGTCTAGAAATAGAAACCTCATTCTGTCTCTTCATAGAATGGTAGTGATAAACAACAGTAAACCCTAGAGGTAATCAGCCTTTTTTTTTTTGCTCTGAGACAAATTTTGTTTTATAGATCCTCAAATTATTGTCAACAAATTTTAAACATTTTAACACGTTCGTTTCTATTTATTACAATGCAGGTAACTTGCTTGAAAATGAACAAACTTCAACGTACAATACATATTACAAACTATCATGCCAAAGAATACTGACTAAACTTTCATGAAATGCAGAATATTACATATTACAGAATGAAGTCTGAGCTTCTATCACAAATAGTTTCACACATGCACCAAACTTCACCTCCTGGTTGATGGAGAATTAACTGTGAAGGTTTGAACTAATCTCTTCTCTGTGAAAACAAACAAGAAGAAATTAGTGTTAAAGGAACATTTTGATCTCATTACATTCACTACTTTCGACATACTTACGCTGAGACAGTCTAGTTCCAGCATGACTAGCAAGATGCTTTGTTGATGTGTAAAATACCATAGGCAATAAACCCACTACAACCAAAGCTACTACTAATCCTATTTCCAGCTTAATTTCCTTTCTATCACAACTTAATAATTCACTCCAATCTGCTCGTGTTGTGTTCACCTAACCCACAAAATTAAAATATTAATCAGGGAATAAATATACTGATAGAATATATTAAAAAGAAAATCTGACATACCGAGTCAACAATATCAACACAGATGTTTCCTTCCCCTTGAATGTTTTTAAGCTTTTCATAAAAGTCATTCATGTCATCATAAATTGTTTTACAATCTTTACATACAGAATCATTGTAAGAGCCATTCTTATAATGGTGAGAAAAACATGCATTTACTTTGTGGTAAAATTTCAAGAATTGTTGGGTTTCATTCCTTAATTTATCAGTAATGGTACCATTAACAACTTCAAGACAACCTGAAACATGCTTCAAAGGGTCAATTCTGTAGTATGTATTCTCCCTTCTAGGCCCAAATCCCAGAAGAATCAAAGAATTGACAGGCCAAATATCACAAAATTGAGAATTTTTTTTTTTGGAAAACTATATTCAAAATGTAATTACATAACTCACTTTCACAGTGACCATTCTTCCAAAGATGTTGAACATACATATAACCATTCTCAAGAATTTCAAGTCGATCAACATTTATTAATATTTTCCTACATGGTGCCCCACTCTCATCTTCTAGCTGCAATTGAAAGAATAATATTTGATCTTCAAATGACAAGTTTAAACCAGCTCCAAAAATTCTTTATTTTATTACAATATTCTTGAAATATATCATTTAATAGTAACTTAAAAATAGTTTTAACCATTGGCAGACATGATTATGATGGAGGCAGCAAAAGGCCATTGAGAACGGAAAAATTTTTTTTTTTTTGGGGGGGGGGTGTTCTAAATTAAATATTTCTCCTACCTCAATTATAATCATCTGCCAAACAAACATCAAAAATACATTTAGGTGATAAATGTACTATTGTGATTTTACTTCATGTGCATATTTTAAATAAATAAACTAATCACATTTTATAGTAAAACTCAAATTGTATATTTATGAACTGAGAAAGTGGTCATTCCCAATTTTCAGAACAACACAATGTCTATAGGTTTACAAGTTTTTGAAAGTGAATTCCACCTTTCTCCTGTAATAAGCAGGAGGCAGAAAACCAAACCATCTTTCATTAGATACTATTACAATATAATCTCTAGTAACCATGAAAATTAAAATCCTAACCAGAGGCTACTACATTGCAATTCTCAAAATTACAAATATTTATTTTAACTAGTAATTCAGAGAAATAAAAGTCGTTCCTAACAGATATGCAAAGCGTATGAAGAGCGAGCCATTAAAATCACCTATTCGCAAGTTTGTGTGTAAATGTAATTTGAGGGAGGGCTTAAAAAAGGAGATCCCTTCCCCTTCAGTATATAACAATTCGATCCCTAGATGAGTATAAACATGAATTCCAGAACTATGGTGTAATTTGAAACAGAATTCTCCTTTCTCTAATAAATAAAAAACTCAAAATTGTGAGGTAAAATTGAAATAAGAAAAATATATTTGCTGTTTAAATTATTTTACAATTAACTTACAGACAATATGAAATTTGACAAACTGGAAGAAACTACATTTAAAAACCACACAAATTCAAATAACTTAAAAGTAATTTTCATTAAAATAAAAAACTGACCAAATGTCATTTTCATCTGTCATATAACCACATACCTTTAATATTTGGTCATATGCAACTTGCACATTTGTGTAATTAGTTGCACAAAATTCACACAGTGTTATGGGTCTGGCATTCATAATAGCACAAAGAGTAAAATTAGCTGCACTGTTTGCAAATTCCTGCAATGCTTTATCGCAGCCTTTAGTTCTACCTTCCACAAGCCTGTAAGAAAATGTGGCAATTATATACAATTCTTAAAAATGTTAATGCAAGTTATGCATCTTTGGAGCAACACTGGAACAAACTATCAAGAAAATATATACTTTAAATTGATGCTTACTGAAAGAGAGATGACTCAACGGCACCAAGGCATGCGACGAAAAAGGGGAATATAAAATTCATTCCGATTTTACTCTTCTGAGCAATACCGTTACCATAAATTGATGTTCGATTCGAATAAGTCCACTCACAAATACACGACTAAATTGCGAATCTTAAAACAACTGTAAAAAGTTAATAGTTCATACTTTAAACTACAAAATATTGGTGCCCTGCTATCTCCGGAAAACGTCACACAAGTAACCAAGTTTTCTTCAGTTTTCATGCTTTGACAGTTCCACCCATCACGTGAAAATGTGAAGTAGACTGTGTGTTAAACAGCTGACAAGCAGAGAGTATATATCTCTTGCTAGTCAGCTGGCGGTCAACAAAGTAGACATATGAATTTGCAAGGTAATGTATTTAATAGAGAATAAAATAGATTTTGAGTTAAAATGTCGAAGCGTTGCCTAATTACAAATTGCATGCACGTTTTTTCCACAATAATGTGAAATTGTTACTCACATTTTTATCATTTGGGAAAATCGTGATGGTGGGTGAGATGTTGGCATTAGTGATCACTGCTTGTGTGCAACTTGCTGTGAATATGAAAGGCTGTTGGTGAATGTCGAGGCGTTGTACTCTTCGTACCTTCACTATTTTAGAATAATTTCTTATTTTATGTCGAGTATGGCGTTATCATGCTTTTTAAAATTTAAGCCGTTCAGAATTCCCAGTCTTTCGGCAAATAATGTATTTTCTTTTGGTATTCAATCTTTATCAATGCCACCGGAGACCCAAAAGCAAGATTCTAAAATGTGTGCTTGGCAAATTCACTCATATGGTGATTTGGGAGAATTACGAATGTCTGATTGTGTCAGAGTACCCAAACTTTTAAGTCCTGATGATATACTCATTGAAGTATTTGCAGCTTCTGTCAATCCAATTGATATAGCAATGATGGGTATGAAGGAGATTACAAAGAAATAAAAATAATGATTTTTGTAATTCCTTTAGGCATTATCTAATCTGTTGTAGGTGGTTATGGTTCATCTCTTCTCAATGCAATCAGGCGAGCCAAAAATTGTGAATTTTCTGGAATCGAATTTCCATTGTCACTTGGCCGTGATTTCTCTGGTATTGTTGTGGCAAAGGGATACCAAGTATCTGGTATTAATGTTGGAGATGAAGTTTGGGGAGTTGTGCCACCTCATAGCCAGGGAAGTCATGCTGGAAAAGTACTTGTCAATAAGTCACTGGTGAGATCTGTTATAAAAACAATAATTTTTTCTTTG